CTAACCTAAAATCACCCTTGAAAGGGAAGAGATTTGAGATGGTCTGTGAGGTTCAGGAAAATACAACAGAGCAGCTGATGGTGACTGGGAGAACTATGTGAGGTCCCAAGGTGCCTACTTTGAAGAGGACTGAGGCAGCATTATCCTATGTTCAAGTTTCTTGTTTCTTATATCTTCCTCAACAAACTTTTCTCTTTTTTCATATTACATGGCTAGATACTTCCATATGTGACACATGGAAGCAATCAGATGCGTAATTATTAAAACTGAATGAAGTGTTTTCACACTCATCCCCCTTGATTTTCTCAACAATGGTATGTAACAGGCAAAACAAAAAGTTTTGAAAAATAATTTATAAAATAATTTATAAAAAATTTATAATAAAAATAATTTATTAAAAAAATAAATAATAATCAGTAATGTTAAATAATGATCTGAGATTCAGATTCAAGACTACTTCCTGAACATGTATAGTATGCCAAATATTTTTCTAATTGTTCTCCCATGTGCTCTAGTATCCAGACAGCAATTATGTGGGGTATGTAAGTAAGGAGATTTTGTAACTTTAATGTGTCATGATTCTAAAACTTAGAGTCTGTTCTTAAACCTGAACTTCTGATTATAGAGCGATATATAGACCCCTCTGCTCATTTGGTCAGTAATGAGGAGAGGGATATTGACACAGGTTCAGACTACAAGTGTATTAGAACCTCACGTTCTCTGAACACATGCACATCAATTTAGTGCCATGTGCTAGTAATGAACGTATCATGATGAATGTGAACTCTGAATTTTTTTAACTCAATATTGTTAAAGTATGTGAGTGATTGTCAATGTTTTTACTTCCTGCCCTTCAGAGAGTTCAGTCAATCCCACTCTCTTGGGCATTAGCGTGCATTCACGGGACACCTGAGTGGCTGGGCTCCCAAACCAAAGCGAGCCACTTGTACTCTGGAGTACTCACTGACTGCATGATTACTAATTGCTACCTCGGTGCACTAAAAGATACTTTGTTGGCTTCAAATAGTTAATGATTCTGCTAATTGCCTACTGTACTCCTGGGGGACACTTTCTAGGAGGAGCTGGCTGAACACAAAATACTAAATGCCGGATGCTTTGGCTATCCTCACTGAAAACAGCTAGGGAACTGCAAAGGGGGCATTCCCCCCTCGGCCTTGCTTAAGCTGAGGGAATTAAAAGACACCACAGTACTCAGAGTCTCTGGATTTGAATCCACACAATGCTGATATTGTTTCTTTATCTGACTTTTGGAAGGGAAAAAGGAGCCATAAAACAATACACTTAAAAATGCAAAGTTAAAAGCAGAGCTTATTGTAATAGAAATTAATTGATAAGAGTATTTTAAAAATAAATTGTAGATATCCCTGACTTACTGAAATAGGTTAGGGAACTTTTAATCTTTATTAGATACTTTAGGCTTATCATTTTAACACAAGGCAATAACTGATGTACAACACTACCTCCAATGAGTTTAGCATGTAGGAAAACAATTTTCTTGATTCTGCCCGTTCTCATCCTTCCATCGTGCTCTTGGTCAATTATAATATGTTCTGTGCTCTATTCTTTTTAAAAAATTAAAGAAAAACAAGTATTAATATAAGCTTTTCTTAAACTTTATTTTGTTGTGCAGGCCATGTGGAGACAAATAGACATTTGTGAAATGTCAAGTTAAAAGTTCTGACCCCAGTGTTGGTTGTATGGTTACCCAAGCAGCTAATGGAGCACAGCACTTTACTACTGGTTCCACAGGGCCCCTACGGAACCAAATGGCCTTTTCACACCAGAATAAAAACTCTGGGGCGACAATAGCAGATTACAGATAGCATGGAGCACACTGGACAGAATAGTGAAAGAGTGTAAAACCTGGTCACGTTAAGAAAATTGAAAAACTCACAAGCCAGCTGTTCAAGTGAGATTTGAAACAAGAAAAATAAATAAATATTTTGATAACTACCTTCCTTTACAGGGTCAGAGCAAGAAGTATCAAACATTTATTGGTAAGGTAAAAAAAAATCTGACAAAAGATATATTATTAAAGAAACACAGGAGAGGAGAAAGAAGCAGGGAAAGACAGTCCACAGCAAGAGCAGCAGGGGTAGAAATGGGTGAGGACTATAACAAGGCCTTTGGTTTGGCAACTGATAAATTAAGAGTGGTTTTTAGAAAACTGATAGGCACGCATAGAAGCTGAACAGAAAATAATTGGTACTAGGTAGTGAGAAAATAAATTAGGAAATAGATGACTTTTTTCCAAGAATTTGTCTCAGCTTGAAATGTTCACCTATTTCTTAAAATCATTATTAATTTGCCAAAACAGCAAAAGGCACATGTCACAGTGTTTTGATTTAAAAGATTAAAATGCTGCATTCAACCTAAAAGTACTTTGTTTTTTTTATCATCCCACTGTGAATGGGAAAACTTTTCAGAACAATAGGCCCTTTGAAATTGGAGATACAAGAAGCGTGTATTTAGAAATATCTATCACTGTGCTTGCACAGGTGATTATACTGGACAGACCAGAAGTTTTCAAGAGCAGCAATAATGCACTTCACCCTGTCTCTGAACCGTCAAGTGCATCTCACTGGAACCAGTTAATGAACAAATGTTGCGTTTGATACCTGCTGTTTCCACATGCACTGGGCCATAATGGATGAATGAGAACCATCTTTTTATGCCATTGTTGAACTCAAAGGACACAGAATAATGTAATCATAGAAGCTAAAACTGATAAAATGTTTCAAAGTATTTAATCCAATCTCCTTGTTATACAGGTAAGAAACTTTGGTTTCACAATGTTATATGAAGTGTCTGAGGTCACTGAGCAGGTTTGTAGCAGAGCTGGGAATTTTATATTTTAAATTCCAGGACCAGCTGGGAACTGTTCATTTTAGCTGCCTTTTCTCTTTTTGGTTTCTACAATCAAATCAGTGTTTAAAAATCACAAGCTAATGAGGAACTTGACATACAGATAAGGGCGAGAAATGGTGAGAATGTATTGGAAATGAAGGGGAATATAAAGTCGTCAAAGCATAAGGGAAATACCACAATTACAAATCAGGTTACAGAAACATGATTCATAAAGACCTAAAATTTGCAAAACCATGTGAGTAAAAAATGGATCTTGAGAAATAATAAGTAGAGGGAAAATAGCAATGTTTATTTATGTACCTCTATTGTACATTCAGCCCTTTAATAGACATGTTGGAAGATTCGAGAGAAACACAGACCATGGCCCCTGCCTTTAAGGAGTAGTATTATCCACTAGAGTAATTATGAAAAGGACACACATAGCACTTGTTAAAAGCCAACTACCTTTCTAGTCTTTATTGCATGTTGGCATTCACAGAAAGTCCGTGATATAGACAGGTGCTGTTATTTTCTTCATTTTATTAATGAGGAAGCTAAGCAAAAGGAGAAATTGTAATATATTGGCTTCTTTGGGCTGACATAACAAGGTACCACAAACTGGATGGCTTAAAACAAAAGAAAATTTAATATCTCACAGTTCTGGAGTCTAGAAATTCAAAATCAAGGTGTTAGCAAGGCCACATTTCCCCTGAGATTGTAAGGGAGACGACTTCCTTGCCTTATCCTAATTTCGGGTGGTAGGTGACAATCCTGCAGTTACATGGCTTGCAGACCCATCACTCCAATCTCTGCTTACGTCTTTACATGGCATTCTCTCTGTGTGACTCTATCTTCATAATTGGATTAAGGGCCCATCGTACTCTAGTGTGACCTCATCTTAACTAATTACACCTGCCAGGACCCTATTTCTAAATAAAGTCACATTCTGAGGTATACAGGTGGGTTTAGAAATTCAACATATCTTTTTGAGAGCACAGTTAAAAAACATATAACTTATCTGAGTTCACAAAGTTACTAGGAGGAGAATTCAATGTAGTTTTGTCCCAGAGGTGATTCTCTTAACTACTGTGCCATTAGATAATCAATTACTGCTCTAGGATGACATAGAATAGAGCTATGAGTGTGCACTGGACTACTACAAGGATGCTGAGGCATTGGTGCTCCAAATGAAACATGAACACAGATAAGTTCAGTTTAGTTGGAGAGGTTGGCAGAGGCTCCTAAGTGGATGTATCCATCAGGAAAGACACCCTGGATCAAAACAACTGGAATAATGAATATAAACCTTTGGAAGAAAATGCTATGATCTGGAATCCTATGGCTGGTAAAGATCTATAAAATGAAATATAACTTGAACAAGAGACAAAAATGAACCTATCCAGTCGACATCCATGTCTGCACTATGATTGAATGTATGACATGTCTGCATCTCCAGTGGCATTGATTCTAGAGAGCTAACTTTTAATCATCTGAGCAGCAGTCCTTCTCTTCTGTTGAAGGAAGGAAGGTTATGAAATTATGAGAGTAAAAGTGGCATTATAATTTGAAAATTGATAATATGACTGGTAATAGTAAACTAGAAATTTGGAACAACTTTCCACTGAAGACACCTAAATTATACATTTTACTTTAATCTGCTGAAAGACACTGATAAACATGATTGAAAAAAATTATGATCATAAGATCTGGGAGGAGACAGAAATTCATACAGGTGAGCTTGACATGTAGAGCAACTTTTCTTCTAGTGGTTATTACCCAGTTCTCCAAAAACTAAAATTAAATTAGAGACAGATCAGGGATTTTGAGAACACAGCACGTTTATGGGGACAATTGGACTTCAGAACCAAAGAAGGTTGGGAGCTGGCTGAAATCTGTGTTTGGGGTAGGGATCCCAAAGGGTTTCTGAGCTTTAGAAGGGAGGGTAAAGTGAAAACGCACTAGCTCTCCTAGAGAATACAACTCATCTTTGCAACACCTCATTTCTCCAATACTGTTAATGAAGTCCCATATTCCTAGTGTCCACAGGTGTCTGCTCCAAAACAAACATACTCCTTTCCAGAGGAAGATAGCATTAGTCTAGTCCTCAAATCCTTTTCATAAAAATATTTCATATACTTACCTGGCAGGAGAGATACCATGATCGCGAAGGTGGTTTTCCCAGGGCGAGGCTTACCCAGAGCCCTCTGGGTGTGCTGACCCCTGCAGTCTCCCCAAATGTGGGAAACTTGACTGCACGATTTGTGGTAGTGGGGACTGCATTCGCACTCTCCCCTACAAAAATATTTCAAAGGCATTTTTGGGCACACAGTAAAAAATAATTAGGATACAAACACGCAAGGAATCATGAAGTTAATAGCAGAAAGGGACAATAACCAAGACATAAGATCAAAATTTGGAAGTAAATCATACACAAGTCTTAACTATGCTTATAGTGTTCACAGAGATAAAAGGTAAGGTTTGGAAATAGGGCAGACAATTAGGAAACATAGCAAAGTACTAGAAAACAAGAACAATTGAAAGTTATAATTTATAAGCACAATAAGCAAAATTAAGACATCATTAGATTAGACTCAAAGAAAATAAAGTAAAAAACTGGAAGAGAAGTTATAAACACTATCCCAAATTATTGAAGGTAGAAAATACAGTAATAGATACTGTATTTTCATAGATAACAAGGAAGAAAGAATGGATAAGAAGCAATAGTTGAAATTTTCAAACACTAAAAAAAATAATAAACTCAAGAAACCTCATGCAGAACAGCCATAATTAAAATAAATTAATTACAAAGAAAACCATAAAATTCTCAAAAACTGAAGTTAAATGGAAATATTTTAACAATGCCTAGACTTGTGCTGACTTCCCAATGAATCAATGGAAAAGCAAAACAGGTTAGTAATATCTTTGAAATGCTGGGAATGTGTGTTTTAAGATACATGTAATCATAATATTTTCAGACAGAAAACAACCAAAAGAATTTATTATAAATAGACTCATGATAAATAGTACAAAAAGTTATTTTTCAGGTTGTAGAATAACACTTCCATATAGATGGAAGATATTCTAAGAATAAAAAACAATGAAACAGAAAAACATGTGGGTAAATCTAATAAATATTGACTGTAGTATATATATATATATATGCACACATATATACACATATATATACTCTGTAGACTGTAGAGTACATATATATACACACACACAACTATATATATATATATACTCTGAAATCTCTTTCTATATATACATATACATATATATAATCATATATCTAGAACTAACTTGGTATATTTATTCCATGAATGTAAAGTGGCTTAATATTTGGAAATCAATTAATGTAATTGATTAGGAAAGGAGAAACATTTTTCTATGGTGATTTCCATAGATGCAGAAAAAGTACAGATAAAATTTATTATTTACTTATAGTTACAAAAAAATGGAAAATGAGGAAAAATACCTTCCTACAGTTGATCAACAGTATCTAAAGAAAACACCATAATAAATGATTAAGTATGGATTTAAAGGTTTTTACTTGAAGATCTGGACTGATATATAGACATTCATTATTACAATTTCTGTTCAACATTGTACCGGAGTTCTTAGCTAAACTAATAAAAAAAGTTCAGGAACTTAAAAGAAGTAAATGTCATTATTTGCAGGTAATATGTTTCTGTAAGCAGAAAATTAAAAATAATCTACACAACAATGATTAAAATTACTGCAGTAGCAAGCATACTAAACACAAAGTCAATACAAATTTAATTGTATTTCTATATGACAGCAAAAAATTAGGTGATGAATGTACAATAATGTATATGCTGTTTATAGTAACATCAGCATTATCAATTAAGATTAAACTTTTTATCAACATATTTTTAAGACTTCTATACAGAACACTAATTAGAATTTTAAAAAATGTTAAGGGAGCCATATGGAGTTGTATAACATGCTCTAAATTTGGAACGTGAAAGTTGTAACTTTACATTATGAAAGTTGTAACTTCTCTCCAAAGGATCTATAATTTTAATTGTATGTCAATACAAAACCCAAGAGATTGTACAATTGGTTGATTGACTGATTGTTTCAGTCTGTATAAAATGTGACAGTTGAATTTAATTTACTTGTGAAAAAGACAAAGTGTAACCAATATACCAGGTATCTGAATGGGCGTACCCAAAGAGAATGACCAATAAATATACATAAAATGTCCCAACTTTATTAGCCAGGGGGATATGGAAATTCAAACCAGAGGTACTAATATGTACAAACACATTAGGGTGGCCTAAATTAAGATTAACACCACCAAGTTTTGGCAAGAAATTGAATCAATTGATCTCTTATACTCTATTGGTGAGAGTGTAAATTTTCAAAATAAATCTGGTAATTCATTTGACATCACATTATAAAGTTGGAGATTTGCATATGCTATGAGCTGGTGATGTCAGTCTTAAGGGTATATATCTCTAAGAGAATGCATGGCTGAATGTGTGCTGCCAATGCAACAAACGTATGACAACCTAAATGTTCACCAAAAGAAGTATGCATTAAATTGAGATATGTCCATACACTGGGAAGAGTAAATATTAGAAAATGAATTAATGCAGCCACATAAAATAACAGATAAATTTTACAAACATATCACTGAAAGAGAAACCAGGCGCAAAATAATTCATACTATATTATTCAATATATAAAAGTTAAATATGTACAGTATACAGAGAAAGTTTTCAGATATATACTAAGGTATTAATACTCTTATAAAAAGCAAAACAATGATCATAATGTGTTGAGATAATAGTTTCTTTGAAGTAAGACAGGAAACAGTGACTGGGAGAGAACAAAAGAAGCCTTCTAAAAAATAGAAACAACTTTCTATTTTTTAACTGGATGTGGTTGTTTGATATTGAATGCGTAATAAGTTATTTTTCTTTTCCACATGCATTTAATTACTTTTTTGTTTTTACATTCAATAGTAGTTTGTCAGGCATACAGCATAGTGATAGACAATCATATACTTTACACAATGTCCCACTCCATATTTCCAACACCCACCTAGCACCATACATAGTTATTGAAATATTATTGATTATATTTCCTGTGCTGTACTTGACATCCCCAATGTATTTTATAACTATCAATTTGTACTTCTTAATCCCTTGACCTTTCTCAGCTAGTCCCCCAAACCCTACCCTTCTAGCAATCATCAGTCTGTTTTCTGTATCTATGAGTTTGTTTCCATTTTGTTTATTCATTTTGTTCTTTAGATTCCCCATAAAAGTGAACCCATATAGAATTATTTTCTTTGTCTGACTTATTTCACTTTACATAACAGCATATAGGTCCATCCATGCTGTTTCAAATGGTAAGATTTTATTCTTTTTAATGGTTGAGTAATATTCCATTGATAAGTACCATCACTTTATCTGATCATCTTTTGATGAGCACTTGGGATGCTTCTATATCTTGGTTATTATAAATAATACTGCAGTGAACATAGGGGTACATATATTCTTTTGAATTAGTGTTTTGGATTCCCTCAGGATATATTCCCAGAAATGAAGTCACTGGGTCATAAGGCAGTTTCATTTTTAGTTTTTTGAGGAACCTCCATATTGTTTTCCAATCAACTTGGTTCCCACCAGCAGTGCATGAGAGTTCCCTTTCCCCAAATCCTTAAGAACACTTGTTGATTATTGATCATAGCCATTCTGACAGGTATAAGGTGATATACTTTATACTTCTCTGAAGTAAGTTATACTTCTCTGATGATTAGTGACTGTGAGCAATTTTTGTATGTCTATTGGTCATCTGTATGTCTTCCTTGGAGAAGTGTTTATTCAGGTCCTCTGCCCATTTTTTAAATTGGAATGTTTGATTTTTTTTGGTGCTGTATGAGTTCTTTATAAATTTTGGATATTAACCCATTATGGGTTGTGTCATTGGTGACTATCTTCTTTCATTTAGTAGTTTGTCTCTATTTTGTTGATTTTTTTTTGCTATGCAAAAAATTTTAGGTTTGATGTAGTCCTATTTTTTAATTTTTGTTTCCCTCACCTGAGGAGCTATATCAAAAAATATTGCTAAAAGAAATGTTAGAGATTTTACTGCCCATTTTTTCCTTCTAGGAGTTTTATGATTTTGAGTCTTATGTTTGCCTTTAATTCATTTAGAGTTTATTCTTGTATACAGAATAAGGAAGTGGCCTGGTTTCACTTGTTTTGCATGTATCTGTTCAATTTTCCCAACACCATTTATTGAACAGACTGCCTTTATCCCATTATACATTCTTGCCTCCTATTGCCAGATATGTATCTTTACCCAAGGATATGTTGATTGACTTTAGAACAAGAGGAAGGGAGAGAGAGAGAGAAAAAAACATCAATGTGAGAAAGAAACATTGTTTGCCTCCTGTACCAACTCCGATCAGAGATCAAACCTATATCCTAGGTAAATGCCCTGACCAAGATCAAACCTGCAACCTTTTTGTGTACAGATAATGCCCCTACCAAATGAGCACCCAGCCAGGGCTCCTTTGTCCTGGTCAATATATTAATTGACCATAAAGACATGGGTTTATTTGTGTGGTACATTTTTGTATGCATTTTTATTTTTTACTATTTAAAAATTAAAAAGTAAGAAAAGAAAGTGTTAATGTTGACACTGTTAATAATGTTTTAAAATCCAGCCCATCATGGGAGTATGAGGTCATATGAGTATAGATCCAAGTGTAACGGTAGACAAAAATATCATGTAGTAATGAGGAGTCCAATGTGAATCTCATACATTGAAAATATATCTTGATTCCTTCCTGTAGTTATAAAAATATGCCACCATAAAAATATTTGATGTCAATTTTACTTAACTGGATGGCAATAGTAATAGTAATTAATATAGCAAATACATTGCAACTTGATAAAGAAGTAACAAGTTGACCTTGTAGCCATGACAACAAGAGGAATTTTTGACATAAACTCAGTCTATTTGGAATTAATTAAACAAGCACTTAATGTTATCTTCTAAATGCTAGACACTGTGGTAGACAAAACAGACTTGGTCTTTGTCCTGTAATAAATGTATAGTCTAGTGGGGAAATAGACAAATGCAATGGAAATCAAGGCTAAAGTGTAAATACTAAACATCAAAAAGACTCCTTCATAGCTTCTTGAATTTTGCATTTTTGATGTCTAAGCCATAGGCTGATTTAAAAGGAAGAGATCGTTTTCCCTTAGTTTTCTAGCAGCCACTCTATGTAATATTTTTTAGAGGTAGAAGC